TGGATTAGAATGTCATTGTTTTTTTTTTTTAAAACAGCTAAGTTTTGTTTCAATAACTGCCCCCAGAGTCCTGCCCTATTTTTCCTAAATAAAATAATAACCTGAGTGTATAATTTGAACAAACATGCAAGTAGTTGGTACCTCTAAAATGTCTCCTGTGGTAGTTCCACAATAGAAGTGGCTGTCATTTTCAGTCATCTGTAAAAACCACAATTATGTGACTGATTACATTATTTTATGTTCACAAACATTTGGCAACACTTAAAAACATATTTTTTTGTAGTACTTAGAAAAAGACCAAACACGAAAATAAAAAAAAAATCAAGAAAACAATTTTCACTTCAAGTATTCTGAATACAACAACTTTAGGAGAAAAACAAACAAATAAATGAACTATCTTTTTGCCCAGGTACAGAAATGTTTTGCTGAAAGGAAATGATACACTGCTAATCTGTTACAATATGACATGCTGAGTACAGGTGAAACATCACTGAGTAACAAAATAAATAAATAAAATAAAAAGTCTTTATTAAGCATTCTAAACAACAAACGTGTTTAGTTACAATGATATGAACTTAGCAAGTATAAAACTGATGAACTAACTAAATTACTAACTGACTAACTAATAAGAGAACAAACATCTATTAACAAAAGTCCTCTTGAAACGTTCAGTTCTGACAAGCGGGAGAATATAATTATGGCGCCTCTTACGTAGCGTAACCATTGGTCGCTCAAGTGGCAAAAGGTCATCTAAAGTAATATTTCTTGTTGAGGAAAACATTAGTAAGCAGCTGAAGCAACATGCGTACCACTGAGAGCAAATAAAATGTTGCTCAGTACAAACTAATATCCACTAGAAGCTCAACAATGGCAAGTGACCCTTATATAATGTTCCAATCAAAATATCACTCAATTATTGCTGATAACTTGAAACTTGTTTGCAATTTCCTAACTTGCATAATACTGAGTACATGTATGCAAAAACAAAACATTTCAATTACAGTATTTTTAAAATAGTGTGAGGCCTTAAAAGTAAACATGAAATTATTTGGTTTTTTTTTTTTTAGAACAAAGCACAACTGAGAAAAGAACGTTCTCCATTGTAATTCAAAAGTCATCTGACTCTGAAATTTGCTCTTTACTTCAAGGTGAAATAATTAACTTAAGAAAAGTACAAATTTGAGTTCCACTTTTCACTCTTCTGTCCAAGGCATGAGATGTGCTTGCATTCATTTCATTGTCTTATGTGTAAGAGTACTCCAATCAAAATTAACAATACATAATCATCATACTGTGAAATTCGTAAATCTAGGCCACCCTGCTCCAAACAAAAGATGCCCTTTGGACTGTAGGAATTAACATTCAGCATCACTCACCTGAATACATTTAACTAGTCGTTTTAGTTGTCCCATACCAACTTCGGTCGGGCGGATCTTGCGATTTTCTACATCCAGTTCCCAAACTCTCAATGTATTACTGTTAGGATAATAAGAGAAAGCTAGTTGTAAAATTAATGAAGGGTAAAGTTATATCTATTTTGCAAATATAATGGTGTACAAAATGTTGGCTTTCAGATCAAATTAATTCCTTTGAACCCTTTATGTGGAAATTTTTATTGATTCATTGATTAATTAAACCAAAAACCTACAGACATATTGTGCAAGTTTACAATACAATAAAAGAGGAGTTATCTAAAAAAGTATTACTTTCTTTACAAACATTAAACTAGATAAAGTTAAAAAACCCCTAACAGTGACTATCATCTAATTTCTCTTTTATAACCCCCAAATCACACATCAAGGTCATGAGAATAAGGGAAATGATCACCAACTAAAGAAGCTCTTGACTGATAATCAAACTATCCTTGTCAGCATTTTAAGAAATGTATAGAGAACTAACTAACTATGGTGTAGTATTATGTATACTGATGTTGGAATGGTTAATAGTTTTTGGCCATAGTTGATACTTTTGTCTTCTTTTAAAATTATCACCCCTGCAGTATACCAACATATTACCATCAAATCATAAAAGCTTTAAAAATTTCTGGAGCTTCAGCAGTACTTACTCTCCGCCAGTGACAAATATCTCATCACTCAAGTTAGCGTAAGCTACTGCAAATGTAGTCCCAGCACTTGGAGCACCTGCCATGCTTCCACAAATAGCTGAACCTGTCTTGACATCCCACACTACAATTCTGTGTGCAAAAGAGTGAAAAAAAAAACTTTGAAACAACATGGTAAAAGATTAATTCTGATAAGAGCATTATAACCATCCTAACCCCAGAGAAAATAAAATGAATGTTACCATTGTTCCAACATGCATGACATATCACATAGAGAAAGTGCAAAATAGTGTAAACAGTGTTTATCGTAACCCTTGACCCCTTGGAGTGACCTCTATCTAATTTCTCCTTACAGTATCATATCTGAATTATGAAATGGTAAGATCAAGAGAATAATAAAAGGAAATGATCACCAACTAAAGAAGCTCCTGACTGTTAGACAAATTTTCCTCATCTATACCTTGGGAAATGTAGTGAGCTATATAGAGAATATGTATGCTGATGTCTCTGATATATCACAAGAGTTTTTAAATCATTTGAATCTGAATATAATTTTACATAATCTGTAAATAAATTAAATTACACAAAGCATCTTGTAGTATAATTATCTAGTTTCCACCAATATTTTGAAGTAAATCACAAAAGATTTTGAGAGTCCTCCTTGTTGTTACCTCAATTGTTTTGATTCATAGCTGTTAGTGTTACTCCTGTTATTTTGTGGCCCATTAGCTCTTTATTGCAAATCATATCAGAGATCAAAGGCCTCTTAGAGAAGGCAGTTAGCTTTTGCTGATCTGAGATCCTTCTAACTGTCTCTGATGTTGGCTGTACTGACTCTCCTTCTGTATAGTTAAGTTCATTTCAGTCTTAAAGCCTTACAATTCCTTAGGGAGTTTGAGTTGAGGACTTGTTGTCATAGCTAGGAGCCTCAGTCAAAAAGGTAGCAAGAGCAGCTTACAGTCATCATTATCAGTGACAAAGATCTGTAAATAATCACCCTTGTTTGAAATTGTTGGGAGGTAGAGGATAATAGAATACAAACACATATGCAAAAGAGAGTATTACAGCCCCAATAAATAAAATTTCCCAGTCATTGGGTGTACCACTGACTGTACCTTGCAATTAGCTGATGAAAACTATGGCAAAGATAAGGAGATATGAGCTAGAATTGTTTGGTCTCAGTCTCAAATTTCCAAACAGGGGTCTGTAAGTTTTACAATTGGCCTTACCCTATGACTTAGAGTATCATTATCATTTAAACAAAGTAGATGTTGTAAATAAATTTCAATCTTGGTTCAATCAACTTGTTCCTCTTTGCTTTAAGTATAAAGATACATTATGTATAGTGATCAGTTTGGAAAAAAAAAAACAACAACAACAACAACAACAACATTGAACCAAAGATAAAATTCAATCACATGGAGAATCTACTATTACAGACTTACGATCCATCGTCTTGGCCCCCAAGGGACACCAGATATTTGTCATTTGGAGAAAAAGCCAGCGCTTCCACTTTGACCTTATGCAGTGGATCCAAGGTATGCTTAATGGATCTCTTTTCAAAATCCCAAAGAATAACATCGGCCTGAAATCCCATATGAGTCTTCTCACCCGATGCAAGGTATTTTCCACTTTTGGAGACTGCTAAACAAGAAACCGCCAGGCACCTTTCTTTGTGTCCTGACAACAGCTTCTGACGCATCTTTGGATCTTCTGGGGTAGTCCTGGTTTTGGTTGCCCCTTTGGTTCCTGATCCTCTGCCACCAGAAGCTGCTTTTTTGTCCTCTTTTATTTCCTCGACGACGATTGTGTTGCCAAGAGGATAAATAAGGTGCTCTCTGTCACTGTTAACCAGCAAACCTCCTGGAACCTCACCTATAAAAATATTTATTTCCCCGTTAAACTTGAATGCAAATTTACCAAGGCCTAGATACATGACAGTTCAGAGTGAAACATCGTACTGCGCTATCAAAGTGTCAGTAAGGCTAAAAATTATATGCTTTCGCGTACCCGCAAAACCAATGATTGCATGAAGGTCGAGAGGTTCTATTTCACCCATGCCTACTTGTTATTAGGTGCACAACTACGGTACAATGATAATAGTACAGACACAGTACAACCGACACACTCTTATCCTCTGATTTTAGTTTTACTCTGGCGCGCGTTGCTACTGGAAACAGCGCATGTAATTATTGCCGCTGGGCTACTAATACCGACAGCGCTATCGTTTCCAGTTTGAACGCGGCTGGGATGTAGATATCGAATCGGTGACTGAGGACTAATGTACCTTACTTTTTCTGCTTCCTTTTGAAGTTTCCTATGGAGGAATCTTCTTTAATTTACTTAAAACTGAGCAACTGTGGAAGTTTGACCATACGGATCGATTGAAAATATGTGTTTCACGGATAGCGGTAATTACTAAAAAATAAACGTCGAATGACACCGACGTCAGGACGCGGAGAAATGGATTTTCTGAGTGACAGGAAAAGTACACTCGGAAGCAATCGGATATGTATACGATTATCGGGTTGGTTTCTAAAATTTATCTTTATTCGATTGGCCAAGTTTCCATGGGAGTCATCGCCATTTTAGAAATGAGACCGGATGGGGTACGAAAGGATTTGAACACCAGTTTTGACCAGTTATCTGCGAATAATTTTTTAGGGAGGTTCGAGATTTAGGATGCCATTTTTCTGAAAATCCTGTGATGTAATTGTCATCGTCAGAACTTAGAAAACAAACCCCTCCTTGTTCGGCTCATATATGTGTCATCCCACATTTGTAGGAGGAGATTAGTATGATCAGAGCTGAAAAGCTGCGTTTGAAAAAGAAGACAACAGTTGACAAGAGAAAGCTTCAATGGGTCTTTATTTTGTTTTCACACCGTATGACACTAAGTATCTATCAGTGAACAAACAAAAGAAAGGGAAACAGAACAAAAATTAAAACAGGGTAATTTCCTGTGTGACGCGATCATTACCTCAGTAAAAGCCAGACTTTATGGATAAGACATGAATCAGCCGAATATATGACAAGTATTAGATAATTTTAGACTAATGTAATACAGTGAAAAATCAAAATCAAACTGACACAAGACCATTAGTAAAAGAGATGACAGTTTATACTATTGAAAGACAGATGTCAAGAGATGTTCTTGCATGACAAAGCATATTCCTTTATGGCCTAAATGCCATTTTTAATCAATACTGCCCTGTTTACGCGGCCGACCAATCAGTTTCTGCATTCCATTAATTGTCAGAAAAAATAAGCTTCGAGAATTAGAATTGTTTAATAATCTATGATTCAGGGTAACAGAATTCAAGCCGAATGGATAGATGAAAGTTTTCAATTTTCATCAGAAATGTAATTGGTTTCTTTCGGTCACGTAGCACTTTGTTGTGTTCCCCTGAACACGTAGAATATTTTTGCAAAACCAAACAGAAATCAAATGCATCAAAAAGAACAACCTTTACTAACAAGCTGAGCTTTTTTTCTTTTTTAAAATACTTTTGCGGGGAAAATAAGAATTCCTCTCAATCGTTGTCGTCGTTAACCTGCCGGAGAACAGCTGACAAAGAGATGCGGGGGCCGGAGTGGAGTCAGCTTGGGTAAGCAGAGGAAGAACCCGAAGGACGCATAGGCCAGAGCAGTGGCGGTTTATGGGCAAAGGGCACGACAAGGATCTACTTCTGCCGTCGTGCAGGGGTCCCACAATGCTGATCTTACGAGAATTTCACCAATTTCTCATAATCATTTACATTACATTTAGCGCTCCTAACACAGTGTCTTTCGGCATGACTATAGGCTAACAGAAAGGATTTAAGTTATTTATAAGCATCCACATTGCGGCACGGACCTGCCTGATTTGCCAACAATACAAAAGTGGGTTCAACGAAGAGTTGACGAAAAGTAAAGTGAACGCAAAATTCCCCAAAGACAGTAGAATCAGCGGGGATGAGTCATTCTTTACGTACAAAATAGCCACACAGGTTATGGGTATGTAACATAACATCAACACGACATAGACATAGCGCATAGCAGAAACAGACTTTTTGTACTTGTTAATAGATAGGTAGCTTTCTTCTCTGTGGAGGTAAAACTGGTTGAACCGGTTGGAAACCTGCCTCTCTTGGCGGCGAAGCATGCGTTGAATTTTCAAGTGCGTAAAAGTTGGTACCACTATAAAAAGCGAGAACGATGCAACAGAAAGGACTATTGTGATCTTTCCTCCCAGTAACCGCGCGATTGGGAAGATCAGGCTGGTTATCCACAGAGAAAATACAGTAACGTTTGCCTTTTTTATTGTGACAACTGAGCGATAGCGTGCACGAAGGTGTAAAGCCAAAAATCTGTCGATGCTTATGGCGATCATCGTGAAAAACGAGACTGCTACGAAGTAATCACTTAGAAGAGGGTAGACAATCCAGGAAGCACAGCGAATCAACGAGTTCCCCACTACACCTGATAGGCAATATGCGATATATACGGGCTGAACAAATAAACCAACAAAAAGATCGGATAGAGCCAAACTTCGAAGGAGCGCTTTAGACGGTGAGTGTAGAGCTCGGGTTTTTACAAGGGCTGTTAACACGAGAGCGTTTCCTGTAAAAGCTGTAAATGAAAACACCGCGTTGAAAGCCGCTGTGATAATGTAGGTGTAGTAGAGATTCGGTGGTACTTGAAGAAGAAGCGATGGACTGTAACTACAGAAGAACAATGTCTCATTTTGGTCTGAAAAATTGTTAGCCATCGTAAATGATTTGAAAGTCCTGAAAGCCTTTAGTTTACGGGAGGATCGATGGAGAATTAGCTCGTCCTGTGAAATGACTTACTTGTAAGAAAGCAATATGTCATGCTCGTTAACGTCATCAATGCCTCAATTCAATGCCTTTAGTGAAACGGGAGGATTTGCCCGCGCTTAATGATTTCCGTGTTTAGTTAGTAAATCAAATTATTTAAAATGAAACAGAGGAAATTACCATAAACTAAACAAATAGACATATCGGAAGCGCTTTACTATTTAAGGCTGACGACTGATCATTGTCAAACATAGAAAACAAACAACGATCTATGGAGATAACGATCTCGATGCTAGTAAAGAGCTTTACAGGATTAGTTCTAGATAAATTTCCCGATGATAAGATCCCCTCTGTTCGTTTTTTTAATGACATCTGCTAGCCTGAACAATTTGCTTTGTAATTTGTCCTCCATAGCAGCCCTAAAAAGCCAGCTCGTAAGGAGTAGTTTCTCAGAAAGATTTGATGAATGTCCTGTTAATCGAAGTCTAATTTCCTGCTTCAGTCGCATGGCTTTTATGCTTCTTGCAACTGAATTTAAAGCAATGATTGAAACTGAAGGCTGCAAAGTGATTCAGATGGTTCATTTTAAAATCAAAATGCTTTCAAGTCAAAGTGGATTTTATTCGAATGTCAACACGATGAGTGTGTCAAATTGAGGTTGACCGTTTCATATCTATAAGTCTACACCACTAAAAATAAAAAGCTTTTAAAACTTTCCTTCCATTACGCGGGCTGATTGGGCAACGAGTGGTAATTAGCCAGGTTTGTACTCATCCGTGCAGCCGAAGAGCAAGTAAACCCGCACCCATTTTGCTAAGTTTACCTTCGAAGACATTTACTTGACAAGCTGAATCCACAATGTTTCTTAACATGATTTTAAAAAGGAGAAAAAAACAACAGCAAATGAATGACTTAACATCCAGACAGCTTTAAAACAGGATTGGGAAGAAGTTCGATTAAAGGAGCTCATTCAAACCTCTTTGTTTTGGAGGTTTATTGTAGAAAACGGAACTTTGGAAATTACATGGCGCTGATCTTAAAGCAAAGGGCGCGAACAGAAGCAAACGTGTATCAGAAATGAACCGATTAAAACAGTAGACGTAACTCCTAAAATTAGCGGTTGTAAGAAATCGCTTTAATTAATTCTGCGAATGATTTTCACCACTTTAATTTCTGACTCATGTGTAATTTCGGAAAAAAAGTAATTTTTGCTCCTCCACTCATCAGGCATGTGCAGATTATACGTATACTGATCTAATTATTCTCGTTGTTGGTAAAATTGGCGTATATCTAAATCCTCTTTGGCACAAGATTGTCATTTATTGTTATTGATTAGAATTGTTTCGAGAGCAAACTTTTTTGGGTACACCCTGTGACAACTGAAATAAGGATGATAAAAGCAAACTTGTCCACTTCTCCAGCATAATTTTTTTCGGTTATCAATTTTTCAGTTTTTGCATCAAAACTTTTGTCTAGTAATGGCAGGAAATAAAACAATTACTCACGTTTTTATAAATATTCACAGGGCTTTTACCTGCGTTGTTTTGTACGTTACCGAACGGTGCAAGAACTTTAAGTCTACCCAATCGAATTCTGAAAATTCTCATAGCTATGCGCTTGTAAACCTAGTAATTTAAAAATAAGGCGACGTCACTTCCAGAGGTAGAAAAACGTCGCAACTGCACCTTCATTATTTTTTTTTTCGACCCGCAACTTTTTGCAAATCTACCTGGTCCTTTCACATTTTACGACGAAAAAATGGTAAACCCGTCGAGAACGCATCTCAAGATTTGTTAATAGTGGAAATTACTGTCCATCTACACAAAATAAATCATGAGATATACTACAATTCGCAGAAACTAATAAAAATGTCATTTAAAGAATGACGTATCTATAGCCGGTCAACTTTCAGCTTACAATCGGTTACAGGGAACTAAGAGCAAATACGTATTACCGAACCAACTGGTGACTATCTGCAAAATTTCATTACGCGCTTAAAACCTCAATGAAATGTCAATTTTAGTTGGTCAACTTCCAAGACGATATGATATGGTAACGACTGAATGAACGAAGAGGGCGTTTAGGGCCATGTTTAATCTCCGACTTTTGTGGTAATGGTAATCATCTTTATTGAGGAAACTTTTTCATAACAGATATGGTTTTCAAAAAGGACCTCGAAACTAGATATATATAGTAGAAACAAGAAAGCAATAAAATTGCAAAGAGATTAAAAGGTTAAAAAAAATGCATAAAAAATTAAAAATCAAAAATATATTAAAAATAAGTAGAAATAAAAATTAAACGTAAGTAGCTATATTAAAAACTTAAAAACATTACGTCTAAAACTATTGACATTCTTTGAGTCTTTGATAGTCTGACTGAGGGAGTTAAAATCGGAAACGGCATGATATTGTGATCTTTGCTTCCCCCAATTTCTTTTGACACGCGGTAATCTAAAATTGCCTTTGTTACGTGTATTATGCCTATGAAGTACGTCTTGTCTAATCAAGTCCATATTGTGATTAGTTAGGCCATTGATGCATTTGTATACGTGTACACATCTTCTTTGAAATCGCCTTTTCTCTAGAGGCAGCCACTTGAGAACGGCTAACGCCTCAGTGGAGGATGAGTAGAATGGTCTATTTAAAATAACTTTAGCGGCCTTATTTTGCAAAACTTGCAAACTAGACATAAGGGTAATATTATGTTTATCGCCCCATACTAGATCAGCATATTCAAAAAGGGGCATAACAAGACCTTTATAGAAAAGTAAACGCGCCCTGAAAGGCAATAAATGCTTTATACGCTTGAGAAGCCCAAGCCTCTGATTGATTTTCCCAGTTAGGTGTTCAATATGATCAGTCCATGTGAAATCCGAAGATATATGTATACCGAGGTATTTAAAGCTGCGAACATTACTTACACTATGATCTAAAATTGAAACAGACAAATCTACTTTGCTTTCGCGTTTCCTATTACTACCGATAAGCATGCATTTAGTTTTGTCCAAATTTAAAGTCAGTTTGTGATCATGAAGCCATTTCGCCACACCTAGTAGATCGTTATTTAACTTATCACTCAACTCCTTTGAGGATGTACCATAGCAATAAATCACAGTATCGTCTGCATAAAGTGACGCGTAGCAGGAGTTAAGCACATTTGGCAAGTTATTTATGTAAATCACAAATAACAAAGGCCCTAAAATACTACCCTGTGGCACCCCAT